AAAAAAAAAAAAAAAAAAAAAAAAAAAAAAAAAAAAAAAAAAAGGAACATACCTGCTAGAGCAAGTTTTCTACATAGCAAAGGTACTAAAAAAATTAGGCATATCAGACAGTATTATAAAATATAATTTAGGATTATGGTTTTAAGAGGCAATGAACATCAACAGTAATCATAACTGAAAGAATTAATTTTGCATTTTATTAATCAGTTGTAAAGAACATATTTTCCAATTATGTTTCAATTTATATAATTAACCATCTGTAGATACCAAAATCCTACCAAAACAATAAGAACTCAAGAGCCAGTATGTTTAGAGGAACAAAACCAGATTGACAAAATGCCTTTATAGCTACCAGAATTAACACAGCCTTTCAATGACACATGCACCAATGGCAAAATCCACAATGCTGGACAAGTGCAGGAGCATACTTCTTGATATAATGGGAAATGAAAAAAATCAGCATTTTTTTTAATCTGAAATTTTAGAAAGCCAGAAAACAATCCAGAAAACACATTTCTTCTACACAGTCAACTTATCATAAATGACATCTGTCCCTTCAAATGTGGAAGGCTAGAAATCAGGTAGGGCTTTTCAACAGGAGTGAGGTAACAGGTAACAGAGCCTTGTTTTGTTTCTTTCTCTCTTCACTGTAATACTTTCAGTGTTTCTCCCAACCCCACCTCTTATTTCCAAAACCAACACGATGCCTTCCAGTCCTGCCCGGCACACGCAGGTGTCCCACCATTCCCCTCAGCATTCCCTGTCTACTTTTCTTTGGCCAGCAATTACACGACACACTGGTTGTGGCTATCTGAGACCCGCTGACTGCTCCCCTGGCCATCACCTCGGAACGGCCCTGGGGATACCCAGAGCAAGGCTCACCCTGCCCCAGCACAGGCACTGGTAGTAACATCTCTTCTACCCACGCAGCTTCTTCCTCAAGCCCTGAAGAAACACAGTCTTGGGCACCACACACCTACACCTACATCTTCTTCTTCCGCTATCAATGAGGCCACAAAAAAGCAAATACACGACTACCTCATTAGGGGGATTAAAACATTTCAAGGGACACGAAGACAGTCAGAGCTGTGTGAACAGTTATTCAGTCACGGGGAGGTGGTTGGTCAGTCCTGAGAGAGACTCAGCTTCTTGCACAGCAGGCAACAGTTGAGAATTAATACTAGAGTTGGCTTTGCAGCAAGAATAAAATCAGTTCTCCTGCTTTCTAGCTACTGCTAAAGCCACATTTTATTACTGATTATGATGGCAAAGAACCATTGTCAGACCTTTGGTAGCAAGTCCTTGTCTTGACAAATGCCCACACACCCAAATAAAGCATGTATCAAGAGTAATCAAGTCTCAAGAGTAATTTATCTTAAAGAGGCTTCTCAAACAGAATGTTACCAGTCTAAAAATTAAATAAACAACCACTATTTCAGTACGAGATGAAAAAGACTCCTGTGCTGCTTCTGAAAAAAAAAGTTTTATATGCTTATTTTAACTTTTAGGCTCTGAGCACGATCAGTACATGATGGCAGAAATCTACCACAGACTTGTGTAAAGTCAGAACACCCTACTGCTATTCATCTATTATAAAACTTCCATGTTATGCTGCACTGCAGAATAATACTTTTATCCTATATTTGCACTCTCACACATAATCTTTCTTTTATAAAAAAGTTTCACTGAAGGTATATTTACAATTGCCTGTAACTTCCAGGAGGAAAATACTGCAATCCACTTAAATAGGAAGGGTTAGGCAATTCAGCTTTTCCTGATTTAAAAACACAGCATCACACTGAAACACTCGAAGAAGGTGTTTTAACCATTGTTGTTTATATTTTGTATCTATCTACACACATAACTTGAAATTGATCTCATTTTTATCAAGTATTTATATTAAAATGTTACTTTTTTCCCAGCAAGCTGACAGTTGTTCAGCATGGCAATTTCAGAATGTCAATGCACACTTTATTATGTTGTTTACACAGGATGTGAAATAAGAATGTGTCATTTGAAACAAGTTAATAAAAAATACTCATCTTGTTCACAACTCAAAGTTCAGAGCACAACAGATTTAATAGCAGGAATGGTTCATCAGGTAAATTTCATAATGCCTTCAGTATGAATAAATATTTTCAAAAACAAACAACTTAGAAATTATTCTTGAATGAAGACATCTGGGAGCCAGTAAGAAAATTACTGCACTATTACAAACAATGAAATTACCACAGTTATGTATCTGAAGTTACTTTCTCTCTTGGGCAATTCCAACAGAAGACAAAAGAAAAGAGACTGGGATCTCCCAAAATCAGACCCCCCACCAATGCAGCTGCTCCCCATACACTGGTTTTGGTGCTAAATATAAACATGATTTTGCACAGAAAATCACCTCTGTAAATGTTTCTGAATTCAACACAAGTGATTCTTTCCTAGGTACCTCCCAAAATATTCCAGTATTAAGGAAAACACAACTGCTGTAAGAAGGGATGAGTACATTTTCCCATGTAAAAGGTGATACTGTTGCAGGCACTGATCATTTGAGCAGCTCCCAGAAGGCTCAGCACTGCCTTAGTCCTTGTCCATCTTTAACAACTTCCTTCAGCTGCCAGGCAGAAAGTTATGGAACCACCACATCCCTGGTTCCAAGCCCTCAAATACAAAGGATCAACAGATTCTCTTCTACCCCCTGATAACTCTCCTGAAGCTGTTAACTCACCGCATCCCAGCAAATGAGTGTATTTTTACAAACATGAAACTGCGTGAAGAACAGAACTCTAAGCCTTCAACAAACTGGCAAAACAAACTCCCAAACTTTGTAATGCAATCAAGTAAACTTAGTACTAATGCTATTGGAACTCCCCATAGCCTACAGCTAAGATTACCCATTGCTGCAGTAAATCAAAACTCACTCAAACTGCTCACATTTTAACTGTATCTCAAAGAAAGCTACATGAAAATTATGAAAAAGAAATTTTCCGGTTTGTTTTTTCACTGTTTTATTATACTATGGGATTAGAACTGCACCTTGTATAGGTATCAAATAGTTAGCAGTCCTAGGAAATAATAAATTTGTGAATTCACAAAACATTAACTCAAAAGAACTAGAGATACACTTTTTACATATCATAACTACAAGGGGGTCTGATCAGGTGATTTCATTCAGAAATAAGCAACACCATTTATCTGTATTATCACATTTTATAGAAGACAATAGAAAGTATTTTGAGATTTTTAAAAACATTCTTCCTTCACTGTTGGTATGTACCTTTATGCAATAATATGTCTACAATATCAAAGATGCACACTTCAAGGAAATCTTAAAGACATATCTTAAATTAACTTAAAGTAGCATTAATGCTATGAAAAAAAAAGTTAACATTTCCAGATCAGATATTCTGGAGCTAGACTGGCTAAAGGAAAGTTTACTTGACAAGACTGGGAACCTCCTTGATTTATAAGGTACCAGAATCTCATTTCTAGCCTGGAACACTCATTTGTATTCTTGAAACAGTCAGCAGTTCAGAACAATACTTGCTTTAGGACATTATGAGTTATGCAATAATTTTCTAAGATCAGAAAGGAAAATATGTCAAGCTTTTTCTTTTGAACAGTGGGTCTCAAGTTCTTAGAGATCTGGAAATCTACAAGTAAATTAAAATACCAGTGAAAATTAATTCATGAACTGAGGGAAGGGGATAGAATCAAGCATAATTATGCAACGTGCCTTTGCCCAACAGAGAGGATCATATAAATTAACTGTAAAGAGGACTGACACTCATATATGAAGGTTCAAGAGGGGGTTCTCAGTTTCCACTGATAGATGGGCTGGATGTGCAGGTGGGTGCTTCAATAACTTGGTGGTATCAGCCTCAGCAGTCCCTTCTGGTTGATTTTTTCCCCAGTGCTAGCAATGCAAGCGTTACACCAATCTCCCTGATCACATATGCTCACATACATATACAGCTGAATCCCAGCACTGGAAAAACACCCTCTACACACCAGCTGCATGCATTTAAGTGCCACACACTGGACCTCAAACACTTGATCAAACAGGTGAACTGCATTTGACACTCAAAACCAGCTTCGGTGTTCCTTTCTTAGGTATATGAGCAGCCGAGCAACTGTGCAGGAGAGAAGACTTATCTATTTTTATCTCTTTGTTTTAGTTAAAAAATCCATTAACAATAAACCTCACATTTTTAACACTCAGGCTGTTCCATCTCTTCTAGCATCATTTATAATGCTTGTGGAATAGCCTGGAAAATCTTAAATTCTGAGGAAACAGATGGCAC